CGGGCAGGAGAACGAGAAAGCACTAGGCTTTTCGTTTTAGATGCGTTCACACCCATGCCGGTCACGTCGCTCTCGGCTGCGAACCTTTCTAGTGAGCACTGTAGATCAGTTTCAGAAGATGCTAATAAAACAAGGTCGTCTGAAACAGCAACCTTCTCGACTTCACATCTCCTATACCGATACTCTCATCGCCTTGGCTGCTCCTGACTATTCTATCCATGTACAACACAAACGGGATGGGGGAGAGGACGCAGCCTTGGCGGAGACCTGTGCGAACGTTGAATGGTTTCGACTTAACGCCATTTACTCTAACGCAGCACCTGCTATCAGAATGCAGTGACGGATGGCCCTTAGCAACTGGCCATCTATCCCGTATGCTCGCAGGCATGACCATAGACTGTTGCCCCGGATCCTTTCATAATCTTTCTGTCGGAACACAACGCTCATATGCATCACATGAGTGAATTCCTACGATCTGGTAACAATCTGGTGTAGGATGAATATCTGGTGATATATTTCATGGGCCTGTTTAATATTACGGTAGCGGGTGCGCTTATGCTGATAGCAATCGTTGCACAAGTTAGTAAACGTAATTTGACTTCACTTATATGGCTTTTATTGGAATCCTTCTTTAAGCCTTAGATTTTGACAATTATAATAATCACCTCTCGGTGTATTTCCATGATATGCAGTTTGAATCATCTCGGCTTTGGCCATCACTATCGCTAACTATTTTTTATCAGTTATGGTTTACCGTAATATTTTATCATTGTTGAATCGATCTTTTGTATCTGTATCTCGATTGCTTTAATCTTTATCAACACGATGGTTAACCAGGCACAGTTCGTTGACCGTTGACTATTTGCTGCTCCTTCGCATCCCCTTTCATACAGGAACAAAAAGCACTGCTAGTTTGAGGTGACGCCTGTCAGTGCTATTTATCGGCTGAGTAGTCGAGTAATTTGATTACCACTTTTAGCAGTAAATTTAATGACCGATTTTATCATGTTGGGATACATTTATAATTAGCGATGTTTTGTGGGTGAATGACGGTGATGATGAGGATATTGCCCGACGCAACAGTGACGCAAAGATGTTGATTAGCTTGATGATAATTACGATGATGTTGTTGCTGATTGTAAGAGGAGAGCTAAATGATAAAGGAACTTATAGTGATTTCAAGGGCTTAAACCAACATGAGTCCGTTCATATCGACCACCAAGGTATACTTATGCAAGAGTGAATAGTAGAACCGCGACAGAGAAGAATGGCTGAGCGACGATGTGAGTGACGCTGCTGGTTTGTTTCATCCAGTTGAACTTCTCTTCCCTGTCGGTCAGGCTTCGGATGATAAATGGTACTGAGGAAGGTCTGCCATTCAGACTGGTCTGAAATACTTGCGGGGCATGCGATAATTTTCCGCACGGGGTAAGATCAGTGTTAGCAAGAATGTTCTTGCCTATCTTGGTACCGTTGCTTACTTAGGTGGTTACCCGTCATATCAAGCAGTGCCAATCATGTACAGTCATCTGCAGACCGGGCCAGTCAGAATTATGTCCTTAGTCCACTACGTTGACATCCGGGGGTCGAAACTTTGGTGCAGTAATTTCCAGTTAATATTTTTTTCTGGTTGGTTATACTTCTGAGCAACAGAGACGATGAATGCGGTCGAGAATCGACGTTATTCCATTATTAACATGTACTTGCTTATGAACCAGAAAGAGCCATTCTCTTTAACGGAGGAGAGCTCATTTCCTAAATGGTGGAAACCGCTTCCCAACCACTAGATAGTTATGTGCATAGTCAGGATTTTATAAAAGTCCATCATAGTTTCATTTGTCCACGTTTCTGGGTTCACGACATCCTTTAAGGGCAACTCTATGGGAAAACAACGCATAAAATATTCTTTAATTAGGTCTATCTGACGTTTCGGACCAAGCTCTGTCCGTCGTCAGAGTACAGTGAGAATGGCAGGTAATGTTTTCATATGCGGTTGATTGTATATATATATATAAACGTTGAAGTCACAAATGGTTGGTTCATAGGTGATGTATACTTGTGGGAAAGAAG